CGTCCAATAACTTGCTAAAAGTTTGTCTTTGTAATTTTCTATATTTTCTTCAACCAAGCTGAAATTATTTCCACTCTTGAACAATATCGAAGTTTCATAACAATAAATATTTTCAATAAAATTATTATTTCGAAGTACCTTAAATTTAACACAAATAGTTAGAGCGGCGGATTTCTATTTCCATGCTGATATGTTTAATTTGCCAGATAGTTGTGACACTATGGAATGTGAATTCTAGAGTAAAAATTACCATTTTATCAAACCAAGGCAGAAAATTTTGAATTATTTCATTATTACTAATTTCAATCAAAATTTTCTTTTTTAATTGATCAGATGGAATATATTTTGATTTCTCACTTATTTTAACTTCAAACATATTTTTATCTAGATTTAAGTCAATCGGACGCAAATATCCTTCTATATTTTTATTAAAACTATCACGTTGATTATTTTGTTTTTCAATCACTTTCATCACAAAACGATCCTTTATTTCAACATTTTTTAAATAAATAAATTCTCTTTTTTCTTTCCAATCATCACAAATTTTCACTTCCACACTAATAATTCTCCCTGAATACCGAATTTTCAAAAGAATAAATAAATATATGAAAATTATATAATTAAATTTAATCATCTGAAATTTGAAAATTAAAGCTGCTTTTTTGTTGCGGACCCATAAATGAGGACCGAACTAACGGTCCGTCAGTTAGGGACCCGAATGGATTTAAAAAAAATTATGTAAAAGACCTCTTTATTTAAAAAACCATCTACTACAAACTTTTTACATCTGATTTGGCATTCTTTTTATTAAGCGGGAAAATAATAAATTTTCCCGCTTTTATTAAGCGGGAAAATAAATAAAATAGGACAAATTTTGAAATTTTTGTTGATTAAAAAATTGTAAAGTACATATGATTAAATTCAAAAGAATCTGATCTTTGAATGTAATTGCACATTTATGTACAATGTTATGTACGAATTTTTACCCTTGTCACGTGACAAATTCACTTAATGTTTGTGTTTTTCTAAAACGACTATTGTAAAGCACATACATAGCTATTTAATTCATAAATTATTGCAAGGGGCAGTTGATTATGTAACATATCATTCCGGGGAACATTAAAAAAATTAGCTAAAGGGGAAACAATTAGCCCATTTCATCTTAATTATATTTAAAGTAATTGAACTATTTAAAAATTATTTTATTTTTGTATTAAATGTATAACATAGGGTTAAGGTTCTTAGAACAGACAATTCTTCTTTCATTGTTTTAAATATTCTCATTTTAATTTAAATCGAGGTCTTATAAATACATATTATGTCGGAATTCCGATCCTCTCAAGGTTAAAGTGCATAAGGAATTGCCAAATACTCACTTTCTCTGCTCAATTCTAAAAATGATAAAACGGACATGTTTAAAGTGCATATGCATCATATGTGAAGCTGATATTTGGTCACTCACATAGGTAGAGGAAAGGGCGGAGATTAAGTATACTCGTTATTTTTCACTCTCTATTTCTAAACTCCTCCCCTCCAAAGCTGCATTTAAAAGTCAGTCAGGACTGTCAATAAATTCATATACATTTTAAAATTATTAGCAAACTTTTTTAAACGATTTCAAGTTTTTTTTAAATTCTTTGTCATTGAGTTTTAGTTGATTAATGTCTCAACATGTTAAATTATAATTATTATTATCCCGCCTTTTAAAAAAAATGATAATTATGTTAATATTTAGTAGTCATATTAAAATGAAAAGTACTTCCTTATTGTACAGTTTAAACTTTAAGGCCTAAAAATAGTCTCACAACAAATGCTAGATGTAATGTCCCGTAAGGACGATTTGATAGCTCCATTTACATAAATTTTAAGACTTATGCTTTACTATTTTAAAATTAGAAAATAACTTTTCCATTACTTTTTTTCCTTCCTTAATAAGACATAATGGTCAGCATTTTCTTCCGTGTTCAATTCCATTATATTTGCCTGTGGCATAATCAAATGAGGAATGATAAAGAAAAGAATTGAATTAAACTGCACTTTCTTAACGTGATCTAAAAATAAATGATTTATAAGTCATTTGAAAGGCTCGTCGGGCTGAGTCGAATGACAAAAAATTAGCCCGCGGACTCAACTGTGAGCCGAGACCATTACTTGTTGCTCCTGTGGCGGCACGCAAATGAGACCTTTGAAATTATTTTGGCAAAGAAGGACCTTTGAAATCAGGAGACCTTTGAAATTATGTCTCATTTGATTATGCCACAGGCAAATATAATGGAATTCAACGTGGAAGAAACTGCTGACTAGTATTTCATATTAAGGAAGGAAAACTGCACTTTCTTAATATAATATAATGGAATTCGAAAAAGGACCCTCTTTTTAGAGCCGCATGTGAAAATTTAATGAATTTTCAAACTCTAGGAAGAACCTATACTGTTATTATGCGCCGTTGCAAAACTTTTCAAAATTTTGAATTAAAAAGTAGTTATTGAACAGCCTTCCCATGTTGTAGAAAGATTTCAAAATTAAGGTTGTAAAATTCTGGCGTTTTGGCACGCCTAATTATAAAAATCAAGCCAATCGTCAGAACACTAAAATGTCATAGCGCCCATTTCTGCAAACGCTCACGCTATTTGAGGTTCCCAGTGGTCTACAAAAGCTACTCCTTCTACAAAGCGACACCTATAAAATAAAATTGTGATGTTTTAAATATTACACAAAATTTCAGATGAATAAATTTAATCTGATCATTCGCTTATATTTAATTATTTGCTTGAATTTTCATTGCGTAGGAAAACAAATGCAAGTTGAGTTAAAAATCAAAGATGACTGAGAAGAAAAAAGAGAATTTATTTATTTAAAATCTGTTGAACTTAAGGAGCGTTTTGTAGTGAAAACAATCGAAAAGCATAACAATAGTTATTTCGGCTCTAATTACAATACGGATGGATTTACCCGTTTAGTTGACTTGAATCTTGCTGCAAATATTTTTAAAAATATTGAATTAAATGTAGGACGAACAAATCCAAAATTTTTATTAAAAAGGAAAATTGTGATTGAGATTGACAACAATAAAATAATTTAAAAAATTTTACAAGGATTTGAAAAACGGGTATTTTATGCTTTATTAACCAAACTTCACATGATAAAATAAAATACAAATGAAGTTCTATTAATCACTGTTATGATTAACTTATTCTATAATAATCGAAATCGAGAATAGAAATTGAAAACCTATAAAGTTACAGAATATTATAAGAATAATTCATGTTAATAGTGTCATTTCCAGTCTACCTTTTTTCCTCCCCAATTTTTTACCCTATGTTTGTACGGAATGTTCAAATCTTCCCCTTTCTTCCATCAAATTTGCCTTTCTATATTTTGCTAAAATCAATCAAAAATATTAATCTTTTATTCAGTTTTTACAATGATAAAAAAGAGACATGATGATGAAAAAAGTGAGACATGATGATCTCATACTTTCTTAAATATTACAAAATAATCTTTTTGTTTGTTTTTAGGTAAAATATAGAAAGTAAAATTGATGGAAGAAAGGGGAAGATTTGACTATTCTGTACAAACATAGGGTAAAAAGATTGGGGAGGAAAAAATGGGGACTGGAAAAGACTATTCCTAATTTATCCTTTAATTTTAGGCACTAAGATATAATAATTTTACTGAGGAGGATAATTTTTATGAAACTTCTATATTAGATGAGAGTTTGGAAAATATAAAAATAAATAAAAAAGAATTATTAAAAGAAAGTATAGAAAATTACACAAACAAACTTTTATCAAGTTATTGGACGGAAATTAATTTAATTGGATATAAAATTGAATTGTTAGAAAAACAGAACTTTGAAGATCCGAAAGAATTAGAAAGGAAAATTATTGAAATTGGAAATAAAATAAGTAATTTTAAATTTTAAGCTTGGTTTATCTTTGCAGTTGACTAAAAAATTTTCATTAATAATTATAGGTGGAGTTAATGAAAGAAACAAGCGTCATTGTTTCAATTGTAGTGTTACACAAACAAAACATTGGTATAGTGCACTAAAAGAACATTACTTGTGCCAAAAATGTGGCGATTATAAACACAAATTTGGAAAGTTTAGATCAAATAAATTATGGTTTAGAGCTACAAAGGTATCTTTATTATTATTTGTTAATTTTTGTGACTCCGGGCCGTTTTTATTCTGAAGAATTTACATATAGAGAGTAGAAAGCAAAATATTTATCTTTACACAGAAAAAAATTAGTTTAGTTCAATAGATTCAACTTAATGCAAATACTTTATATTAACATAAAGTATGAACGAAGTAACTAATGATCTTCGTAGAGTAATTTTATTAAATCTTTATCGATAATTATAATTTAAATATTTATGTTCAAATACTTGTTATATAAATATTTTAGAGAAATACACAACATCGAACTTGCTTTATTTGCGGTATAACCCAAACGTATCATTGGCACCTTGATTCAATGTTTGAAAACGATTTGTGTAATAAATGTTATCAAAAACAATATAGGACAAGGACGAAAACAACTAAAAATTAAAAGGATAATGAATAGAATAAATATATTTATGATGACTAGTATGACTAAATAAATCCATAGCAAATATTAAATTAATGCACATGCGTGGACAATTTTTAAAAACGTTTAATTTTTATAAATTTTTTCAACACGTTAGTTATATTTAATTTTATTTAATATCTTGTCGTTGTAGAAACTTTAAATTTTATTCAAAATGTAAATATATATCTATGGATCAAATTGTGACAAGATTTTACTTCCTTACTAAATTTTTTCTTTATTAACTTCTTCCTGCTTACAGAGTTTATTACATTTAAATTTTAATTTATCATAATTTAATATTTTATAAATTTTTATTTAAAATACATAAAAACTTTTTGGTAAATTTTTTATTGGATCATTGTAATTTTTTGAAGATTTTTAAATATTAAATATTTTAATAATTTAAATAATTTTAAATATTTTTTGAAGACAAAATAGAATAAAAAAGAGTAATAAAGCAAACTGACTGAGACAAGGACTGAATGATAAATTGTATACTAAAAGGAAGAAAATACCCAACAGAAGAATAGGTTATAACGTAAAAATCCAATCCCTTGTATAAATAACAATTTCAGTTTAATTTTGATAAGCTTTTAAATTAGATTAAATGTTTGTTCATATTTCCCTTCTCAGATTCAATGATGTGCTTTCCACCACTTCAAAATTAAAACCACGATTGTCGCAATTATGCCAAGCGTAATTATAATCCAGGCTATTAAACAATTATATTTTCCCTGGCAAAATCCATCTCCACTATTTTCATTCCCAAAACAACCCGAACTTCTATCATCAGCGCGCTTGCGACGAGTCAAAAATTGTTTAAAATTCATTTGCTTATGCTCTAAAAAAATAAGTAGTTTGAGTTACTAAATTAATAATATTTACACTCATTTTCGGAAAAAATTAGGTAATGCAAACTAAGTAAACTATTTGAACCCATGCATGATGGCCTAATTCAGTATTTTTAATTCTTCGCTATTTTCAGCTCTCCTAGATAAAAATCCCGCTCGTTATGAATGATTTTTTCTAATCCATTCCATGTTATAATCAATTTTTTGCATTTTGTTATTCCTTGAATTAATAAAAATCACTTACTATATTTTTCGACTTCCTGCTTCTTCCTACAAAAGCATCCGAACTTGGCCGGGATTTTAAAATTAAAAGCAATTGATTTCCAAATTGAAATGGCCTCATCAAATATATTTTTCTCAACTTCGTGTTTTTCTGCAAATTGTACCCACAACCTATTAAAAACTCCAGTCAAATAGTTCATGTCATATAATTTTTTGTCCTCTATGAGTTTTCCATTTTGTAATTTTTCTTGAATTTTGCCATATTTTTTATCAATGAAATTGTTGAAAAGTGTTAGGGATGTTTCTTTGACATTTTTAATGTTATCAAATGCTTCTTGCAAGTTCGAAGCCTTGGCAATGACAAACAAATTGTTGAGGTCCTAAAAGTTTTTTAGATTTGTGAAATTTTATAGTCAATAAGTTTGGAGTCATGCCTATTAAAAAGAGATAGATTTGTTTAGAGCTCTCAGATTCTTAATGACTTGGGTAAGGTAACCAACTCAATATCCTTATTTGGACCATATGACCAGCGATTATATTTTAGATCTCATTTTGTTTTCCAAAAATTACATTTAAAATTTAATACAAACTTAATTTAAACTTACATAATTAATGTGTAATTTCTTCATTTCTTTCTCAATGATTCCCAACTTTTGTTTAATCTGACAAACTTCTTCCAGGTTGTCCATTTTTCCATAGCCTTTTCCACCATGACTTCGACTGTTAACTCCAACAAAAATAAATAGGAATATTAAAATAAATTTTATTTTCATTCCTAAGAGAAGATTACGTTAACAAGCTTGAGATTTTAACGATAATTTTGCTTAATTAATCGTATAAGGTAATTAAAGTAAATAAAAACTAAAATTTTGGTTGAAAGTAATAATTTAGGGTTTATAAGCGCGACTATTTTTTACAAAATACCATAAAGAGTAATTAATGTTTTTGTTATCCTCAAGTACAATAGCCATATCTGAGTTACTGGTCATTTTTCTTAATTTTAGCTTCTTATTAAAAGAATGCCTTAGAATAAAAGAGGAGAATATGGAGGATTTATTGTAAAAGAGGAGGAGAAATATGCTTGTTTACTAAATTTCGACATAAAGTGCAAATCAATCTCATGCCTTTAATTGATTTAAATTTATTTAACTAAATTTCCCTTTGTGACTCTATTAATAAGCATGATGCAATATTTTGACATTTAATTTTGAAATGCCGAGTGCAAAAGAATTTTAAGATGATAAATAAATACATTAAATATTCTTAAATTAATAATGTCAGCTATTGCTGCGTTGATAGAATTTTTTATCCGCCTTTCAGTTTAACTCCCATGATTTTAAATGCTTAACTTATCATTAGTTGTATCTGTTGAAATAGTGTTACACATGACTCTAGAATTGATACCTACAATTTTATTTTCCCGTTCACGATAATCATTCTCAGAGACACTTGTTTATTTAGTATTTTAGTATTTTCTGCTACGCCCAAGGTTGTTTGATTTTGACGTACAAATGATTTTGACGTTTTGCATCTTCCGACAAAAGAAAACTTTGATGTATTCTATATATGATTTATAAAGAGTTTCATCAGTTATAAATATTACTGTTTATTTTTTAAAAATTTATTTTTAAAAAATATTTTATAAAAAATAAGAAATACAAAAAGTGCAAATTACATAATTTAATCTCTTTGTAAATGTTTTATGCCGCCCAATTTTGCACAATGACTAATGTGAATTCATCTGAATAGTAAATTGCAGATTTATTTTTATAACTATATTATTTAATTACATATTTGGGAATGTTTAATTTAAAATAATTTTTATATTTAATTATTTTACAAATTCTCGGCTTGCATAATAGAGCATGTGTTGTGAATAAACCCAATTACATCCAGATCGGAAGTTTTACGCTGAGTTATTAGAAACAACTTTTTGTGGGAGTATTGTCTCGTTTTTCCATTTAAGCTTGAACTCTATTTTTTGATGTCTAGCATAGAAAACGACCCCATTGACTAGATCATTAAGTTTATTCGATTCATTTTTTTCATTTTTGGTACTTTAAAATTTTTCGATTAAATGATTGTGAATTTCACTACTACTAGGTTTTCTAAAAATTTACTACTACACCCTCTAAAAATTTAATTTAAAAAACGGCCACTAATTAACCCGAACATAATATTTAAAAATAATTTTGAAGAAAATCCATTGCATTACATTATAAATGGATATAATAATAAAAATAAAAGTTATATAGTCATCAAACTTTTCTTCCATTAAATAACCTTCATATAACAACTTATTTATTTATTTTGTAAATAGCGGCATTTCAAATAAATATTTGCACGTTTTATATTTCTAAAAAAATATTTTAAACTATTTAAAACTAATAATATTAAACGAGTCAAAGTACAAAAAGTGCAAATTACTTTATTTATCACGCCGATTGACAAATAAAAATAAAGTACAATTTCTAAATATTAAATGACATGCGGACTAATCTTATGAATTTTTCATTAAACATAAAGTGCAAATATTTATTCAGTAGATCCTTGTGGGTCCATGGCCGACGAGATTCCTTTTCACGCATTAGTAGTTCTCGCAGCACGCCAGAGGGTAGCTTGCTTCGGATCTGCAACATAGTTTGGGTTGAGTCAGGCGATTGTCCCTGCGACTCCAATTGATAGCATATTCTGTCCACTGTGTCCATAAAGTTGCGTAGTGATGATGAGGCATCCGTTGCCCTCGGTATATGCATCAGTTCTGAGTACAAGTTGTCAATAAGTCTCTTTGAGTCTCCAAATCGGTCCTTCAAAATGTTGAGTACGTGCTGGTAGTTGGCGTCCGACGGTTCATAATGTTCAATAGCTTTTCGTGCTGGTGAGTTGGCTGGCAGACACATCAAAAGATAGGTGTGCTTCTGGAAGGCGGACAAGGTCGTTTGCTGATCAACTGCGACTGAAAATGCATTCCACCATGTTCTGTAGCGATGGGCTTCTCCGTCGAAGCGCGGTAGTTCCAATGTAGGTAGTCGGACGGCTTGTTGTACCACATTTGGTTGATTCACTTGTTGTGCGGGCAGCTGCTGGCCCTGATGACCCTCCATGGTCCAGTTGATTAGTTCCACAATTCCTCTGGCTCTCTCGTGTAAGTCCATAAAGTGTTCATGCGGCAAGTCCTGTTCAGCCTCAGGTTGCGGCGGAAAGTTGTCATATAGTTCCTCCTCTGCTTGTAGAGCATTTTCTTCCAAGTTGTCCATGTGTTCCAGCCAACGAGTGTTGAGTTCATTCACGCGTTCCATTGACGATTCCAGTTGAGTTCTGACCAAACGAAGTCCATTAGTTGTTGCCTGATTGATCACTGGTTGATCCAAAAGTCCATTAGCATCTGCAATTCTGTCCCTCATAGTTCGCAAAACAGGAGCAATAGCACGGCGGATTGGTCCTGAAGACGGCATTTCGCTGCTAGTAGTCGACTACAGTAAGTGGGAGTCGATTAGTTATAGTAGGCTGCTGACAGTTGATTAGAGTCGACGCTGACAGTGGTCGATTAGTTGTCTCACACAGATATAGTAGTAGACGGTCGATTGCAGTTAACGACGGTCGATTGTAGTTTGCCCTGTAGTTGATTAGTTGACGGCTGCAGTGCCAACTATCAGTTGATTAAACACACCAGTGAAGTGAACTGATGAGCAAATTGAGTTGAACACACCAGTGGAGTGAAGCACCAAGCAGTTGATGAACACTCAGCTGACTGATGTACAAATTGAGTTGATTGGCGACGGTTGTTGTTGTTGACCCGAGCTGCGCACTGACAATTGATGTGGGCGCTGTTCCCGGCCGTTGCACCAATTTTTGTGGGCGAGGGATTTGTTGTCGAGGAACACAGGTCCGTTGAAGTCAGACCAGCCACGCGTTGTTCCAAGTTCCCTCGGCACAAAAAGGAAGTAGTTGTTTCGGCACGTGCAGTCGACTATTAAACGGTCGACCAATTGTCCTTTCGGTCAATTGTAGTCGACTGTGAACAGTCGATTGTGTTGTTGTTGGAAGGTCGATTGTTGGAAGAGCACGGCCAAATTTAGTCGACGGCAAGTAGTCGACTGTTGTTCGCTGGAAGGGCGATTGTTGAAAGAGCAGGCCAAATGTAGTCTGCTGAAGGTCGATTAAAATTTAATCGACCGTTGTCACCAAAAGCACTTGCAGGGCGATTAAACAAAGAGGAAAAGGGCGACTAAGCTCAAAGAAATAAAAAGCAGCGAAGTAAAAAATATTTATTTTCCAAAGGCAGCCAAATATAATAAAAGCGAACAAAACAAGTAAAATGCACGTACAAAGTTAAATAAGTGAAGGGACGTACAAATAAATATAAAACTGGGAGCAATGCGAACGAATGAACTGAACTGGGGAAATGGTGAATGAACTAACACTAAAAATAGAGTAAAAAGCAAATGCTTAAATAGCCGGCTGGTCTAGCCTGGGGCGTGGCTTGTTTTCCGACCAGCCGAAGAAGAAATGGGCGTGGTTAGCAATAAAATAATTGAAGAAAAGGAAATAGTACGTACAACTGACGACAGGAGTAAAATTAAATAGAAATTAGAGAAATGGGAAAAAATATTGAGTGAAATTAGGAGAGGGAAAATATCTATGAAAAAAGGTGACAAAATCGTCGCCTGTCGGCGACAAATAGAAATTTATTTACTTATTTTATTGCCAATGTCAATAATACTGTTTATTAATTTTTTTAGATATTCAAATTTTTGTTTTTCTA